GTATTAGCAGTTAGCAATTGGCCAATGGGCTAAGCGAGCAAACAAATCACTAGGTTATTTTTCTCCCTATGCTTTCATTTGTTGGTATAAATCAGCATAGACCAATGTTATGCAAATTAGTTTTGTGTGTTTCTATTGTGGGGTTATGATTAAATTGATCCTTTCTCTCACCCCCCAAATACCCCTTTGGACTAAAATGTTAAAGTTTAGGTTTGATCCACCGAGGCTTAGACATTCTTGTAATTACACCTCAACTTAATAAGGGGTTCCAATCTCCAGTCTTCTCCAAAGCCTATTTTCTTTATAACAAAAATGCTGGAACTCCTGTTAAATGATGCTATTTTGCCCAGGAAAAAAAATGGAACTCCCACTAGTTATCCGCTGGACTAATTCTATGTCCATCTCAGCAAAATAAATACTGTAGCCATGTGATATCTTAAACCAACTGGATTACTTCACATTCATCTTGGCTGCGATGAATCTATGCAGTGTTTAAGTTGGTATAAAACTCATTAGAACTTCCAGAATTTCTTGGGAAGGCCATAAGTCTGTTTCTTTTTTCAAACCATTTGCAGTGGTGGAGAGTAAGCAAAGGTGATTGGGAAGCGTTTAATCTTGTCCTCCTTTCCAGTCTGTTTACAGGGATTCATCTTTTTACTCATCCTAAGCAAACCTCCTTACTACGTTGTTTTTTTTTTTTTAACTTAAACAATTAGCTTGTATGGAGAAGACACGATTGTATGGAGAAGTTTTTAAATAACTAATCTGGACACCGTGCAAATTATACTTGTGCATATCCAGCCTGCTCTCTAAGTAGTTTAAAGATAGGAAAGAGGGAAAGTGGGTGCTTTATTTTACCCCTCAAAACAAGAATTTTGAACCAGTTGGGAGAGGGACCTGGCCAGGTCTACCTATACTGCTGAATAAGGTAGAATAAGGCCGAGAGAGTACAAATATACAGAAACTAGCAGAGCTCAAACCACCATTACTCCTCAAACTGTTTTCACGGAAGATGTAGCTGCAGTATCCTGCATGACTTTCCCTGATGGCCACATCTGTCAGTGATCAAACCATACTGGCTAAATGGAACGTCCATGTGCAGAGGCAGGATATCTTTTTATAAACAGAGGCTGAGGTCTAACTGAAGTAAAAGCAATTGCTTTCATCGACTGCTATTCAGCTTTCAAAAAAGCATTTAGATATTTATGCAAAAGGCATGCTCAGGAAGACTTTCCTTGTTTCCAACATGCTGGAGCACACATTCTCTCCCCACACAAGCTCCTTCCTTTTTGTGACTTCTGAAATCTTCCAGGTTTTAAAGCCAGGATCTCTGCCAAGGATCTTATGAACTAGTCTTAAAGAAGAAAAACTAAAACCCACCCAATGAATTAGAGACCATTCAGAGCATTATTACCCCTCTATCATGCCTCCCAAAGTAGACCTTGTTTTTTTTTTCCTTTCCGGAGACTGCTGGTATTACCATGCCAGGGCCCCAAAGGAATTAGTAGTTGGCCAATGCTTCCCCGCTGTGACTTGCAGACAGATTCCAGGTTTAAACTGTTTATATTTTCAGTAATTTATAACCTAGTTTATTTTCCAGTAATTTATAACCTAGTTTATTTATAACCAGATTATATTTCTCAGGTTGTTATGCATGCCTATGGTGCCCTCTTCAGGATTCAGGATAAGGAACTATCGTGGGAAAGAAATTTTGCACAAAATCTACTGCTTCTCCCTTTCTCACTGTAATCTCATGCAAGAGAGAGAGAGAGAGAGAGAGAGAGAGAGAGAGAGATTCCATTAAGCATTTGATTTATCTCAAAAAATGGTGGCTGAGCTGAAAAAGAAACACTCATTTTAAGCCAGCAAAGAAACTGTCGATGCATGCTCAGAGTTGATTAAACTCGAATTGGGTTCAGTTCTGTCTCTAAAATAAAATCTGGAAAGCTGCAGGTATATTTGGAGCATGAAGCTGTGGTGGTGCTTCAGGAACCAAATTAATTTTAGGTGCTTAAGGCACCAGACTAAAAACCAGGAGACGGTGAGTTCTAGTCTCAGTTTAGGCATAAAGCCAGCTGGATGGCCTTGAGCCAGTCACTCTCTCTCTCTCAGCCCTAGAAAGCAGGCACTTACGAAAACTTGCCTAGAAAACTGCAGGGACTAGGAGGCAACATTGACATTGGAAGCAGCAACAACAAAAACGAGTTGCACCCATATGTACTGCACTTTAGTGGCATAGCTGTCAAAACATAAGCCTATGATCAAGGATCGAATGTGCTCTCCATCATGGAATTTTAGAGGTGATTTTGGGTTACTTCCCACCTCTACCTCACAGAGTTGTAGTGAAGATAAAATGAAGGGAGATCTGCATTCAGGATTCCTTGAGTTCCTGGAGAAGAGGTGGGATATAATCTTAAAAACTCAGACAAAAACTGCATGTTATCCTTGATGGCTATAGTCAAATTTGTTTGTTTTTTTTTAAATTAGGTGAGGTTAGGAAGCGTTGTTGCTATTTTTGCTCCTTTTAATGCCTTTACCAACAACCTAGTCCTATTGTGTAGGAAGAGCAGGCAATGTATTCTTTCGCCACTTTATCTCTGTGCCTATAAAAGTACCTACTAAATGTCCATATAAAGCTGCTTCTGATAAAAGCACAGCATTAGACAAGAAGGGGAAAATGACACAAATACCAGACTGCAATAACAACAAATATGATCAAGGAACATTTTTTTGTGATTAGTAGTCAATGAAGTGTCTTCTGTACTAGTAAAATATTTTCCTGGCCTCTAGCCCATCAGTATACAGTATTTTGAATTAAGCGATGTCTCTAAAGGCTATTTAATGGACAATGTATTATAATGCTAGCTGTTACCAGAAGAATGCTGGACAACTTACCTTTCTTCAAGGCAGGCCATAGCTAAGCCTGGACTGCTGAAAACTGGCTTGTTCCCTGTTAGGATTTTCCCTAGCAGTATCCTAGAATTACACAGTAGATTCTCAAGAGTACAGTAAGAAATGTGTAACTGATTCGGATCACCCTACAGCTACTTAGATAATCTTGTTGAAACCAAGAGCATAAAGATTTTCAGGTTCCGCATCTTGGATACCTTAGCAAGCTTCCCAGGTCGCACTTTTGAAAATTCTCTCATCCTGAAGAGAAATTCAGATTAGCCAATCATCTCAGAATTAAGGAGGTTGCATCCTCACGTATCTGGAAGGCACCAGCCTGAGAAAGGCTGATCCAAAAATCAAATGCCCATTGGTCATGTGGGCATGGAAGGAAAGCTCTTTTGGAAATGAGCAACATGTTTAGTGCAAAGTGGAGAGTAGAGAGTGTTCAGGAAACTCTTTGTCTCTTTAGATATATAGATACAGAAAGCCACGTTTCTACTCTTCTTCCCTGTTACCAGCTTGTGCCCCCCTTGCCTCTCTCCCCTACTCTAATAGTAGAATTGGTCAGTACAGGATTCCCTAGACTCTGGGAGTTAAGATTAATTTAAATTGGGAACCAAAAATAACCCTCTTTTGTTTTAAGGGCCATATTAAAGGTCATAGTTAGCTAAGTATAGCTGTCACCAAGTTGCTCCTATATATAAACCACTCTGGAGCTCTGAAAATGACTGTCTATTGAAGAGATCATATTGGCAGGGATCAGGTACAAAATGTAAGAGGTAGGATGTATTTTTTCCTCTGGAATTCACTGCCACAAAAGCAAGGTGGGAAACCACTAACAGGAATTGCTTTCCAGGAAAAAAATATATAGAACAAATACTTGGACAAGAAACAACTGCCAGGTAGACTATGAAGCTCAGGAAAATTCCTTTTAAGTGGCAATGTATTTTTAGTGATCAAATACTAAGGATTAGCAAGAGGCAGATATCAGCAATTTGTCTGCTTGGAAACTTCTTGGACCAGTCAGTAAGCCAAAGTCAGAACAGGGGCAGGTGATTCTGTCAAGTTAATTTGTCACAGATTTATTATATAACTTTCCCTCCCTTTCTCCCTCCTTCTTCCCTCTCTTTCTCTTTCTCTCTTTCTCTTTCTCTTTCTCTCTTTTTATTTCTTTCTTTCTCTCTCTCTTTCTCTCTCTCTCTCTCTCACACACACACACACACAAACAAATGTAAATTAATGCAGTTTTCCATAGACTTTTCCTAACATGAATTTCTGCACACACCCTCTCTCTCTCTCTCTCTCTCTCTCTCTCTCTCTCTCTCTCTCTAATATTTTTATCTAATACACACTTGAGAGGATATCTTTTTTCAGATGTGATCCATGTTAAAAGTTTGCTATTCGCCTGCAGTTCAGACTTGTCTTGAGAGATCTAAAAAATAATTATTGACCTAAAAATATCTGATGATCCAATTTTTTTTAATCCTTTGTCAGAATATAACTTCTAGACAATGTTGATAAAAATGACCATTGCTCTTGCTAATAGTAAATTCAGCTGGGAAATGTCCATTGAAGCCAAAATATGATGGGCAGATCTCCAGGGCTGATCTCTTGATGGGGTGGTACAATCCTGGGGTGTCTTCCAAGGTCACAGCTACTGATAGATCAAGCAGAATAGCCTTTGCCCAGCTTCAATTAGTTCACCAGCTACATTATAGAAATGAATGAATTTCAGTAGCTCACAATGCATGGATAGGAGGAAAAGAATCTCCACAAAAATATGTTATCAAAGCTGCAGTGGGTGCATAAATCTCTGTCTGTGAGACTTCATCTATGGATTTAAATGAGGTCCAGTTCATTCATTCAGGCCACTGTTTGAAGTTACAGCAGTTCTGAAAAAAAATGATTTATGACCATTGCACTTATAATTGTTACAGCATCACCACAGTCACATGATCAAAATTAGGGCGCTTGGCAGTTAGCATATTTATGACAGCTGCAGTATTCCAAAATCATGTGATCACCATTTGGGACCCAATACATTGATGAACATGGTGACAAGTCTAAACACAGATTTAATATGTTCCTTCTTTCTTTTTCCCATCTAGAAAGGGAATCCCGGGAGCATGAAGAACCAACCACTTCTGAGATGGCTGAGGAGACCTATTCATCCAAAATGTACAGAAATAAGGGGCTTGGGCGCTTCTCTGAGCTAAAGGTAGAGGCATTGAAGAAAGACCGCAAGAAGAAGTTGACCTTATCGAAGATTGTGGGTGGGGCAGAAAACACTGCACACCCTCGAGTTGCTGCTCCAGAGCTAAGACCAGAATTCGAATTGGTAAGAGCAGCCTTCCTAGACCTCTAAGACAGATACCTTCCTTTCTCTATATCTTTCAGTCTTGCTTTTCTCCCTCTCGTGTTCTGGCTCCCTTTACTTTGAGTGGAGGCCATTACCCAGAAGAGCTTGGAATGGTATGAGGCAGACATTAGAGCTGGTGGACATCCAGCGAGACAGCCTTAAAGGCTCAACATGGAGTGGGAAAACTGTAACCAGAACTGTTTTGAGGGCAGTATTGTTCAAAAATTTTATTAATAATCTGGATAAGTGCCAGTTTGGTCTAATGGTTAAGACTCCAGGCTAGAAATCAGGAGACTGTGAATTCTTGTCCGGCCTTAGATATAAAAGGCAACTGGGTGACTTTGGGACAGTCATTTTCTCCTAGCCCAACCCACCTCACAGGGTGGTTATTGTGGGGAAAATAGGAGGAGGAAGGAGTATTGTGTGTTTGATACCTTGAGTTATTTATAAAAATAATACAGGCTGGATAAAATAAATAAATAAGTAATAGGATTGGTGAGCTGCTTATCAACTTTCTGGATGACAACATTGGGAGGTCTGACTAATATATCAGAGGCAATATTCTGACAGAATGTCAGAACAAGATTTCAGTCTAATTTGATCAGATAGGAAGACTGGGCTGAGAAGAGCATGTTGTCTGTTAACAAGGACAAATGTAAGTTATTATATTTAGAGAGAAAAAGTACAGGATGCATATACAAGACAGGAAACTCATGGCTTGGAACTATTACATCTGAGAAGGACATGGGTGTGGTCCTTGTCAACAAGCTGCACGTGAATCAGCCATGATTCCATTTTCTCCTGGTGTTTTTACCAAAAAGACAGGGGTGTTTTGTTTTGTTTTTTCATTTTTGTCAATTTGCTTGCATTGTTTCATTTGGCTTAAGCTGAGAAACCAACCAGGGTTCTAAATGGCACTACACATGTTTTCTAAACCAACAATCCAGTTTCAAATTTCTATGAGGCTATCAGACCTGCCAAATTTCAGAATCAAAAAAATTCTGTTTTACAGACCCAAATCGATCAAAGAGCTTGCTTTCTCTCTTGCTTTCTCCAGTAACCTTTCTATGATCTGGATAGGCACTATCAGAAAGTTTCTGTAATTTGTTCCTGCTAAAATGTGAACTCAATTTGGACTTTAATTCAGAGAAATTTGTTTGGATCCTCAGGTTTTCATAACTTAAACCAGGGAGGTTTATTGATTATGTTTGCAATAATCACGTAAGAGGGAGTCTCTCACTGCTTTTATATGCCAAAGGAACAATCATCATCTTTCAAGAAATTTGGAGAAGGCAAAAGAGCAGGTGGGCTGTTGTGGTCAAGAGGGCCTTTGCACAGTTCATCTTGTGCACCAGTTGTGCTCTTTACTTGATCAGGAGGCCCTTCAGACAGTTACCTATGCCTTGGTCACCTCTCATTGGATTAGTGCAATGTGCTTAAAATGGGGCTCCCTTTAAAAATCACTGGGAAGTTACAGCTGGTTCAAAATGCAGTGGCACTTTAAGCATTAACAGGCAGTACTGAATATGTCCCTGTGTCACTACTGCTCTGCCAGCTACAGCAGCTGCCAGTTAGTTTCTGAGTGTAATTCTGGGTGCTGATTATTACTTATAAAACCTTGTATGGCATAAAGCTTGGATACCCAAGAGACCACTTATTGAAATCATCAGTGTGTTCCAGCACAATGAGTGCACTGCAAGTCGCCTCCACTAATTATTGCCATGTTATGGAACTTAGGAAGCCTGTCCTGTCTGTTGTAGCCCCCAAACAGAATTCCCCTGGTCTAGCCTCCCAGATAAAGATGGCATCCTCTTTCGTGGGATTCTGGAAAGCTTTAAAAATCTGACTTTGTCCTAAGCCTGAGATTTATTATTTCTTTAATGCCCTCTGTTTTGTTTTATTCATTTTGTTGTTTATTGGGTTGTTTTAGTCTAGGTTGTCTGTCTGATTTTATATTTTTAGCTGATCTGTTTGTTAGTTAGCTTTGTAAAAAGTGGCCCGGAGTCCACTGACATTGGGTGGCCAATATGTTTAAATAAATAACAATATTAGCCCTCACACTCAGATAAATTGAGCCATTGTCAAAATTCGTGTCCCTAGGAGTATACTATAGTTCAGGGGTCTTCAAACTTGGCCCTTTTATGACTTGTGGACTTCAACTCCCAGAATCCCTCAGCCAGGCACACTGGAATCCTGGGAGTTGAAGTCCAGAAGTCATAAAAAGACCAAGTTTGAAGACCCTGCTCTCGATAATCTGACTCCAAGTCAGAAGCTCTGTGTTCATCCATTTTACCCTTGATTGTCTTAGTATTCCTTAACCAACCTTTCTCTGGTTGCTTCTCTTTCTTCAGGGCCCTTGCCGTCGGCAAATGGAGGCCTCGTTACAGGAACTCAAATCTAGTCAGCGAATGATCCCTCGAGCTGTTCATCTGCCCAACTGTGACAGGAAAGGTTTCTATAAAAGGAAACAGGTATTATTTCCTGCTGGATTCAAAATAAAAAAAATGTATGCTTTGCAGATAAGGAGCAGGGATAAATTTGCACCATTTTTTCATTGTCGGTCCAGACATCAGAAGTGGGTTTCTGGCAATGGGAAACCTCTTGTCCTACCACTATTTTGGAGTTTTGAATCCCAGGCCACAGCTGAGACAGAAATTAAATTTGTCCAGTTGTGGGAAGGCTATAGAAGCCCCAAAAAACTAGGGGGGGAGGATACAGTTTAGATCCAGAATCACTGCAAATGTCGTATATGACATCATTCCAGATAGGATTTTTTTTTCCCCTGTGTTAGAGGGTAGGCCAGTCACCACCTCAGGAGTGCACTGTGTAGCCTTCCCCTGCACCCCAAATAATTGAATTTCTGACAGTGAGGGAATATTCTGTAAGATCAGCCCTGCTGAGCTAAGTATCCAGTTGGATTTATATTTCTGTCCTCCTCTCCTGACAGCTTGATGATGTTGAAAGTTCAGATTAATTCCATGCAAGATGAATCAGGTGTTAGAAATGGCAGCCCAGCTACCCTCCTTCTCACTGTTGATCCTTTCCCTTCCCCTCTCTAGTGCAAACCATCTCGGGGCCGAAAGCGTGGGCTGTGCTGGTGTGTGGACAAGTATGGATTGAAGCTGCCAGGAACTGATTACGTAGCTGGAGACCTGCAGTGTCACAACTTTGACAGCGGAAACACAGAATGAAGATCCCGGCTGCCTCTCTCTGCCAGAGCCCTTCCCCACCCATCACCCACCCACACCTCACGATGTCCCAAGAAACTGATTCCTTTCATCTCATTTAAGAAACTGTGGACCTCGGAATCTACAGAATGTCATCGGCTTCTAGGAGTGGCAATGAAAGAGACTGAAGGAGAAAAGGCAACCCATTAAGGTGGAAGGAAGGAAGGAAGGAAGGAAGGAAGGAAGGAAGGAAGGGAGGAAGGAAGGAAGGAAGACCATGAAGACCATCTCCATGGGACAGGGCCATCAAGAAGCTCATATGCCACCATGCTTGCCCTTGACTCTAGCCTGCCACCCAGAGAAACACTGACCTAGGAAGCTCTCAGAGGCACTTGAATACTATTTCCTTTTCTCCCTTCTTTGATATTGCAGTTTTAAAGCTTTTCCAGTTTAAAAAGTACTTAGTTTAACCAAACAACTCTTAGGACAAGCAGGCCTCTCATTATCTATTATCTACTTGGGCATGTTTTTCTTTCTTCCTTCCTTTTTTTAAAAAAAAAAATATATGTTCATTTCTGGAACCTCTCTCTACTTTTCCCTAACAAGGACTAAAGCTTGTCAGTGCCCTTGCCCTCTATGACTTCCCTTTTATTAAAAAGCAAAAGGTCAGATGACAACAGGATCCTATAGTGGGATGAAGCAAAATTAAGAATTAAAAACTTATTGTTCCTGGTGGGTTTCTTTCCCAGGACAGCAAAAGGGTTCAACCTGATTATTTAAAGTGTCTTGTACAGCCCTTTCCTATGTAAATACAGATGTTTACTCTTTGTTCTCGATTGAACAATCCCATTTCCTTACAAGCAAAGCCCTTTGATTTTCATTGTGCATGAAGGCCTAGCAACTTGTTCAGGGCTACTTGCATAAGTCAAAGGTGTTCAGCGTTGTATATTTGCAGGAAAAGTGCCCAAGTTGAAACATGGTTTGCCAGACATCTTGCAGGCACTTAAAGCCTGAAATGTTTGTTGCTTCTATAAACGCACCTGTGGATTTCCACATTCTGACAGGCTAAAACAGTAAGATCCCTTTGCCTTTTTTTGTTTTTTAACTCTGGAAGGACACCTGATTCTTCACTATGATATCCCGAATGTCCTTTACAATGAAAATTCCAAAAAGCTGGTTGATGATTTATAAAGTTACACATACTAGAAATATAAACATGATCTGTAATAAGGGAAATGTTTTACCATTTCCCCATATCTACAACATTTAGAGAAGTCTCTGTAGGCAGAGGCCTCTACTATTTCAAAGCATACTTGAGTGACTGGCTGCCCCTCTCCCCTGACAGAGCTTTGGCATCTCTAACAGCTGCTTAGTAAGCAGAAATTCAACAGTGAAGATTTGATCTACACTAATGCATTATTTGTCCTGGGGAGAAGCTGTATCTATTTAATTTTTGACACTGCCCCACTGTTAAAGACCTAGGGACCCTGTCAGGAAAGGAAGAGAAACCAAACCCATACAACTACTCGCAGAGACCATTGATTCAACAGCTTTTGCATGCAGGCTTGGGCAGACCACTAAAGCTGTTTAATTTCTTTGTAATGATAATTGTTGCTTTAATTCTTTGTTACGTCTCCATGGACGCTGCCATAACAAGGTGGTGGTGGTGGTTGTTTTCCAATGCCCATAACAATGGATGAAAGGCAAGGCAACTACAAGAAGGAACAGCTCCCACTCTGACTGGGGGATGAATCCTTGACTCAGCAGCCAGCAAGAAATATTGGGCCATCATGATCTAGCCCAATATAAGACAGTCCTTAATATGTTTCCCTTCTGAGAGAGAACTCCAAAGGACTTGAGGACTTCACTGGGACTGGCTGCAAGCACTTCCAAGCCAAGTACTGATCAGAAACCTGGAGAAAGGAGCTGGCTTCCTGAGAGCAGGCACAGCAAGCTTACGACTGTCCAGCATCTGGAAAGGACAGTCTGACAGGACCAGAAGGATACCCATGATGCACAATACTCACAACTAACGCAGATGAAAAGAAATAAGAAATCTTCCTGACAGGATTGGCTATTGCATCCAAATGACTTTGGTGGGTTTTGCTCTCGGCTCCCCTCCCTTCACCACTAATATTCAACTAGGTTCCAAAACTATGTTGGAAAGCTAATGAATATCTTGCATTAGCATGGATATGGGAATTGGTAAGCAAATTGGGATATTTGGCCTCACTATGAAAGCAGAAGGTAGATGAGTAAAATCCTCTCCTTATAAGGATGGATACAACATTTATTTCTTCAGTAGGTATACATGTTTGAAGTCTGATTAGTTGTTGGCTACTATCAACCATGAAAGAAAAATTCAGCTCTATCCATTTGCCCCACGTTTTGATATCTGATCCAATTATTTGTTATTATTCAGATTTCCAGAAATTATCACTTCTAAGTGCTCCATCTGTCGCCTTCCCTGGGCTTTGGCAGCAGTGATTTCATAGTTATTTTTCTAAGAGTTGAGTATCAGAGTACCATGAGTTTTCATACAAACAAATGGTTGAACTGTACTTTTGGCTGAAATATTTGTTACTGTGACAGCTGGATCCAAGTACTTTCCCATCTTGCTTTAGGAAGAGGATAATATTCCTAAGTTTACTATCTCACTAGGCTGGTAACTGGTTGAATTGTTTATGTCCTCTTCCCTTCTAAGAAAGCCCTGAAATATTCTGCTGGCTCTATAATTAGTCAAAAGCCTAAACCTTCCTTTCAAATTCTATGATAGATAAGATGCTAGAGACCACTAATGCTAATTAATGACAGTTTTGGGACAGTGATATTTAATATCCCCAGGGAAAAGCTCTACTGTTAGGATGGCATCAGTGGCATCAAGTAGGAGAAGGTTGATCTACATAATAAATCCAGAAATTGAATGAATGGACTTCTCTGTCCCAAGTACATGATGCATGAAAAGAGTGCATATCAATGTGATGGTGAAAGGAAGCGAATCAGGGCTGTTGGCAACTTGAGGCACTTTTTCGCCAGCACCTGTGATAACTTAAGCCCAAGCAAAAAGATTGGCACATAATTTTAGATTTTCTGTCAGATCTTCTATGAGGAGTTGGGAAGAGTTAAATCCAATCCCCATCAATCATTGCTAAACCACAGCCTTCTCAAACCCTGGTGAGAGAATTTCTTCTCCAACGATAGCCAAATGGCAGTCAGGGGTCTCTTTGGAAAAATGGTCAGTGTTTCAAGCTGGGATGACCTAATATTGTGAATGAGTAATTTGTCTTAGAATTCCTTCAAATGACCAATTGCTGCCATGGTTATTCCTGTCTTTACTCTGGACCTGCCATTTCCAGGGGAAACTCGTGGAGAAAAACCTCTTTGCCTTCCTTCCGTTATAACTAGACTGGACTAGAGAACAGAATGGTCCTGCTCATGTATGTCATATCTGCTAGCTTGTGATGTTTGATGGTGGAGGTTGAGTTTGGTCCCCTTTTGAATGAATCTGACCCTGCCTAAGGATGGGTTGGAGCCTCTTTATTGTCTATAGGGTAGGGAATCTTAACAAAAGCATGTGTCTCTGGGCCCACAGGATGGTTTTAAGAGACAGAGGAAGCCTGAGGATTCTAAAATCAATGCCTCCTCCCATAAAGCTAAAGAAGAGAAGGTGAGGTACATAGGTGCCATTTGCTGGTCCATAAAGTAGAAGAAGATGTACCAGGCACATAAAAAAAGTGAGGCAATTTTACAGGTCATGCTGGATTTCTGTTACTATTTTTTTTTTTTTTTTTGCTTAGCTCTTCCCAAAGTATTCTGACAACTATAGCTTTCTAAGTGTGTTCAGAGTCCTACTATACGACTGAATTTCCTAAGGTTCCTAGAAAGAGAAATAATCATTAAGTTAGAAAGAAAGATTATTGTTAAGTACGTGTCAGTCTGAGACACAAATTCATCCTAAATTACATAAGACGAAAGAATGTAACTCAAACCCTTCTTCCTTCCCTCCTTGGATTAGTTTCAATTCAAGCCACGTTATTTCCTTTTCCTCCTCCCCCACCATCCTTCCTTGATATGTATCTGTTGTTTCCTGACCCTTGAAAATACTATCCTGCACAGAATGTCTTTCTTCCTTTCCAGCCTTTCTTCCTTAGTAAATAAGCTTGAGGAAGGTTGCTGGCCTTCCTATCCTTGAGATACATAAGACAAATTCTACAATCAAGGGAGGTGACGCAACAGAATAATTTCCCCTTATAGTTGTTCCCTTGCCAGTCCTGACGCAATGGTGCTGCCACCACTGTCTCAGAAACTCATAGTCCCATCATCTCATTATTTTGCTGGTTGAGACAAGAAAGAGAAACCTATGTACATTAGCTATAGTAGAACCTCTCTTATATCTGTATTATTTAATTTTGACTTAAATAGCCTGGAGGATAGGGTCACCGTTGCAGACTTCAACCTGCAGAAAGCCATTTCACTGAATTTCTTGCCCCAGTACTTAAAATCTCATTAGAAATGCAAGGAAGCTCCTTTTGTAAGCCATCCCTGCAAGCTTTGATTGTTTCTAGGAAAGGTGAATAAAGCAAAGTGGGAGGTGGGTTCCTTCTTATGAGGGCAGCTATCTTTAGAATTAATTTTTATTCTTTCTCCACCTACTAGTCTTCTTTACTTTCAAATCCAGCCATTTGGAAGAAGATGAAATTGCTTCAGGTAGTTGGTTCTGGGTAAAGAACATCTTTCTTTCTTTCTTTCTTTCTTTCTTTCTTTCTTTCTTTCTTTCTTTTTTTCCTGCAAAGGAGAGGTCTTTCTAGGTTTCTTGCCCAAGCTCCAAAATAATTTGATCAACCATGACCTAGGGTGGAGGAAAAGGGAAGCAAGTCACTTTGGCCAACAACCCAGCTGCTTTGAATCTCATCTTCATCCTTGACCAAAGGGAGAAGGCTCCCCTGATTTTCCCCCCCAATAAATGACCCTCCTCCCATCAGAGGAGCAAATCAGAGGAGGTAAGAAAAATGATAAAAGACAAAGCAGTGGGGAAAGCTCCCTTCAGAAGTACAAAGAATTGAAGTGTGAAGGAGGCTTTGGAGGCACCAAAGGTAGTAAATTCTGAAGTCCAAGAGCATCATCAGCCAATTGGAATTAGGAGCAGACCTGGACTCTAACAGCCTTCTCCAACCTGAAGAATCTCCAGATGTGTCAAACACTCAACAAACCCTAAGCCACTATGGTCAGGCGTTAGGGTCCCAATGCATCTGGAAATCACCAAGTCAGAGAAGACTTCTCTAGAGAGTCACACTGCAGCTGATAATATTCAAAGGCAGGCAGCTTCTAGAATAGCCCAAACTTATTTGCAGCCAGAGATCCTTTGTCAGTGCTGTGGTGGACAGTTGTGTTTTGAAACCACTAGTTCAAAGAGGAAGACTGCACTATTTCTTCACTTCATCCCTCTCTCCTTCCTTCCTTCCTTCTTTCACTTTTAATAGAGGCTAGATAATTTATGCAGTTAGCCGATCACCCCAATTCCCCTTCTTGTTAGGAGCCTCTCGGCCGATAAACAAAAGCTTGAGTCCATCCACTTCCAACCTTGCCCCCTTTAAGCCCTTCCAATGCAATGATTACACCCCATGGTAGCACAGTGAAAACACAAGATTCCGAGATTCTTGCCTGGTTTTGTGGTTTTTGTTTTTCATTACATCATTTAGTCACTACACATTTTACAGTAGCTTTTAATAGCTTTACATACATACAGTAGTTCTGTGGCTATTTGTTTTTGTTTTCCTTTGCAGTAAACAAGAATATTCATACTCTTACCAGTTGGGGGGAAAATGCAGTTTGTGAAAAAAAAAAATCTGACAATGGATGAGGAGTGTAATGCTCTGTTTAGCATTTTGTACTTAAAAAAAAAGAATCTCACATTTTATTAAAAGGTGAAGATTGCTGTATACTATTTATTCAACTTATAATTTATGTTACTCTTTGATCTTTGTCTTTTCTTATGACAAAGCATTTATTTAATAAAGTTATGCATTCAGTTAAGTCTGTGTGCATGGCCTAAAACAAGTCTGTGTGTTCAATATAAGCTGGATTAAAATTGGCCAGCCTGCTATTAAGCAAACCAATGGAGAATCTTTCTTTGGAACTACCAAAATGGACATAAGACTTATACAGAGATGGAGATGGATCAAAGACCTATTATTACACAAGTTGTGGAGAATATAGGGCACCTCATGGCATAGCTGAGCATCAGCTTTATCCTTAATTCATCAGGGTTCCCCACTGTTTTACTTCACTTTCCCACTAAGAGTCAATAACATCCACTTTTTCACAGGAGAGAAGATAGAGTTGGGAGTATTATTAGGTCAAAGTCAAATCTACACCATGATGGCACCAGAACATTATGAATCAAAATTATTCCGAACCAGATCACGAAAACATTTGTCCTATTCTATTGTCCTCTTTGGTGGAGTCACATTTTGCAAGATGGAATATTGATTAATTCGCTAGAATGTAAATATACCACTTCAGAGCCAGCCTGATGTAGTGATTAAGGCACCAGGCTAGAAACCAGGAGACCAGGAGTTCTAGTGTTACCTTAGGCACAAAACCAGCTAGGTGACCTTGGGCCGGTCCGTTTCTCTTAGCCCTAGGAAGGAGGCAAGGGCAAACCATTTCTGAACCCTTTCCAAAAATTGGCCTTGTTTTTCCTACTTGGGTATTTGACTGTTGATTCTTAACAAATTACAGTACATTGTCCTATTAGTATTGGAATAAAGGAGATTCAAGGTTATCCGTCAAGCTGCCACTCTTGTCAATGTAGCTCAAGTGTAATTCTTGGATTATTTTGGATGTTCCTGGTGGGGAAGATAAAGATGCACAATGTATTACTCAGCTAAGAGTTGTAGTTTGATCCTTTCCTCCTCTTCTTCTCATGAATACAATTGATTCCGAAAGATCTCCTGTATGGAGAACTAGTGCAGGGAAAGAGCCCCTGAGCTGCGATATAAGGATATCTGCAAGAGGGACCTAAAGGCCTCGGGATATAAACAGCTGGACATAAACAGCTGGGAATCCTTGACCTCTGATCGTTCAGCCTGGAAGCTAAAGACACAGCATGGCCTTCTCCAATTTGAAGAGACACTTGTGCGGCAGGCTGAGGCAGAGAGGCAGTCCCAGAACCATCGAAATCTGGGGGCTGGACAGGGGATTGTATCTACCCTCAGTGTGGAAAGGACTGCCATTCTCGAATTGGCCTTTTTAGCCACACCAGATGCTGCCTTAGGACCTTTTTCCAGAGCATGATACCATAGTCTCTCAAGACCGAAGGATGCCAATGATTGAATTGATTCTGAATACATCTCAGTATTCCACTATTATGATTAGTTTACTTCTCATATTTATTTTGTACCACTCAAAATGGCATACATAATGTCCCAGTCTCCTATTTTCTTCACAACAATAATCCTGTGAGGTGGGTTGGGCTGAAAGAGAATATTCTCAATATTTTTGAGAATATTTTGAAAGAATGCACATCTCCTAGTTCCTAACCTGACACCTTAATCCAGGGGTGTCAAACTGCAGGCCCATGGGCTGATTGCATCATATAGAGACCAAGTCCACCCCAGCTCCGGCAATGCAAAAAAACATTGTGATACGTTGCGACACGTCACATGACGTGGCAAGTTTGACACCTATGCCTTAATCACTACACTCAACAGTCTCTTTTATGATAAATATTTTTTTAAAAAAATCAGTGAAGCAGTCTGTCATAATAACAAAGAGACTTGAGGAACCTTAAAATTTAAGTAATCTGGAAGGCATAAACTCTACGGCAGTGTTTCTCAACCTTGACAATTTTAAAACATGTGGACTTCAACTCCCAGAATTTCACAGCCAGCATTGCTGACTGTGGAATTCTGGGAGTTGAAGTCCACATGCCTTAAAATTGTCAAGGTTGAGAAACACTGCTCTATGGTACCATAAGACTGATATTTTTTTAAAAAAATGGGGGGGGGCACAATGACTGCTACATCACTTCTATCCACAAGAGGGAAGCACAGATTAGAGGTTGTCTTAAATAGAAAGTTACAAGTGAAAAAAGGGATGAGTTACAGAGTGTTATATAAACTGCACAAGGTATCATAAAAATGCTATATTATATTTCCATCATGAAGTATAATAACCACAGAGTACACCTATCAGAGAAATGGACAAATATGACATGGAAATGTACACAATGTGCACAAATTCCAGTCCTGTCTATCATTGCAGGTCTTTTCACATCACTGGGATAAAAAAAAATAAAAATCTACAGATGTTCACATAAGCATTTCAAGAATTTGCAAGAATCATTAGCAAGGAATTATTTTTAAAATGCCTACCTATCTGGTACATCTATCTATCCCTGGCTGATTTGAATTACTGAATAAATATTAAAAGGATTACGGGGGGGGGGGATATATACCTATCAATGTGTCTTAATTTGCTAAGAACCCAACAGACAAAACCCTTTGACCAACATTTGTACATCTTTTTCTCTGGAGTTTTTAGTCTATGCCAAGATTCATTTTGCCATTTTTTTATAATTTTCTTAAGGAGCAGGGAGTATAGCCACCTAGAGATGGTTTGGTAGCACATCCTATTCCAGCATCTCCTAAGCTTAATTTACTTCTGATCATTAAAACAAACAGCAATTAAAGGTCTCAGAAGAAGCTATTATTGATGCAGCTTAGCCAAGTAGAACCCACCCTTGAGATAAAATTAAAAAATGATAATCAATGTTGGTGGGATCTTTGCCCACAAAAATCGCTTTCAGTTCCTATAACTTTTTTCTTCCTGCCTTGGATTTGCATCTGTGAATGGACACATGGGCAGATGTGGTTACTTATCCCAAACGTTGAGATAGGATCAGGGCAAAACTTGTTTCACATTAATAATATGGTGTGATACTTGTTCAAGCATCCAGCAGATTGAAATGTTTTCATTGGTCCTTGTTCCAAAGGAGCCTTGTTGCTAGCCAAGGCATATCTATTTATAATGCCTGCTTTTGATGTCAAGAATGTGCCCCATTATCCCACTCTGTTCCTTTGGTTAAATTCTAATACCAAGAGAAGAACATTTTCTTCTTATAGTCAGACAGAAATCAACTTGCATTAGAGTTTTTCAGATGATCCAACCTGCAACTTCTCATTGGCAGGATCCCTTTCTCAGCACCCTCTCAGTCCCCTGAACATGGAACATAATACTAACAGGGAAACTTGTTCCCCAAAGCTATTCAGAGGCTACAGGAGGACATCTGAGAGCTTCTGATTTCATTAATCTTGATTTGTAAAAGGGAATAACTAAGGAGGAAGAGTGATCAGGAATCTAGATTGATTTATTGACGGAAATGGAGTTGGGGAAGAGAAAATAAAGAGAAATATTAAATCCTGGACAGGATATAGATGGGATTATATAAGAGAGACTTTTTAAAGTAATCCCATCTATTCAGGTCTTTCAGCACTGGATCAATGAAAGAAGTATTTTAGGAGGCTACAAAAGAGCTAAGTTACCCTGTCTGTTCCTTAAAAAATTTAGAAATTACCGGTAGCTATACATACATGGATGGAGAAATGTTCTGAAAATGACTGCTGGCCAATTATGTCATTCTGCCTTTTGTCAACTGTGCTGATTGACTTACTAAAGAAAATTTAATAAGACACTCTTTTTGAGTGTAGTTTTCCTGGACACATCCATATAGAGTTTTATGGGTATGCAATCTAGTTGTTTGCCATTGTTCCCTTCTGGAATTTTTTCCCCCACTTATCAGTATAGCCCAGAGGTGTCAAACTCACCATGTCGTGTGACGTGTCAGGACATTATCGCGACTTTTTCCCCATTGCCGGAGCTGGAGTGGGCACGGTTTCGGTATGACGCATCCGGCCCGCAGGCCGGCAGTTTGACACCCTTGGTATAGCCCAGGGGTAGGCAACCTTGGCTCTTTTATGATTTGTGGACTCCAACTCCCAGAATTCCTAAGCCAGCCATGCTGAGGGGAAGGGAGAGGTTTCCAAGCTGAGCCATGCTGGTTCAGGAATTCTGGAAGTTGAAGTCCACAAGTCATAAAAGAGCCAAGGTTGCCCACCCCTGGTATAGCCTATAAGCAAGGATTTTCTGCTGATCTCAAATTGAAATGCTAAGCTCATTCCTGCTTTGTTTTTCTAAGCTAGATGCTTTTTTCTTCATAAAGTGTGTTTGTTAATCATTACAAATCACAGTTCCTATGTTGGCTCCAGCAGAATGAGCAGTGGAATGAACTAAGTATAGCCTACATATGTTGCCTCCTTTCTGCTGATCTTAGAAACCGCATTGTACTGCATTTTGCAGAAAGAATTGCAACTTAATTTCCACCCTGTTGGGAGATAGGGCACCAAGCCTTGACTACAGAGCTAAGCAAACTCAGTCCCAAGAGTACATGTGGCCTCTGAAGCCCTTTCTATTTCTGAAGGAGAAAACTTTTGCAAACCTCCAGACAGGCTGAACATGATTTGGACAAAAGGAAGCAATTCTTCCCCAAATTTAAAGGGAATCAAAAATTCTATTTGCATTATGCAGATGCACTCATGATGCATATAACTCACCCACTGTGACCCAAAGGTATTTTTCAGAAGGCAACTGGACTTTCTTAGTTTTTTTTTTCTTTGAAAATGCTTTGCTTCTTATTCAAGAAACTTCTTCAGTTCTGGAGAAACTGAGGAAGCTTCTTGGATGAGAAGTGAAACATTTTCAAGGAAAGAAGAAGAAAATCAAGTTGCCTTTTGAAAAGCACCTTTGGGACAACCACGACCTTGATGATTGAGAATCTCCATAGACGTCCATTAACTGTGCTTTTGACGTTTCAGTCTATTTACCAGGAACTAATGTAACATTTGTAAGAGGCATCTTATGCTGTAGCATTTTATTACTCAGCACTCAAAGTTGTTGAATGCTCAAATATCTGGGTTGCAGAGAGAGAATATGAAAGCTCTGGTCATGATGGCTGCTCATTCAAGTTGCTGCTTAATGCTTCAATAAATCCAAAGATCCCCCAAAGTCCTCAGTACTTTTTTCCCCCTGTATCTTTCTTGGTGCTTCCATCATATAAGCAATGCAGGCCATTGGACAGCTTCCACATTTTTCTGATTTGGGGAAGGCATTGTGGGTGTGGGACATAGACATTTTCAGTAACGAAATAGCCTGGGCTGGGTTAGGCGCACATCACTTCGGGGCAGAGAAAGGAACACAGTGACCTTTAAAAAAAAGTACATCTTCTACTTAGGTGGAAATGGATTGCCTTGAAATTGCCAGTTCTTTGGGTGGTTTCCCCCCCCCCCTAAATGCAAATGCTACTTCAAGATTCAAGAAGCAATGGAAGATGAAATATTTCTTGGTAAGCTAGGCCCTACATACTCAAAATAAGATGAGCGGAAATTCCCTTGAAAAACATTTTCAGTTGATAAATTCCATTTTTCTACGTCTGCCAAGTCTTGAAGTGGGGAAAATGTTTTCCATAACTCTGGAATCCTGGGATTCAAGAAAAGAGTTACTTGGAGTGGGCTTAGCAAATTTTCCACAGTCTTGGGCAGGACACGGGAAAGATCACGAACAGAAAAACTTGGGATTGTAGATTTATTCTTTTTTTTTCATTACTCAGTTTGAAGATAGCAGGAGATTAATACCAGTATAAGTATAGAACTGTCTCAGAAGGCAGGTAATCAGGAAGGTGAAGTCCAAATATTTGCAATCAATTGATGCAAAAAGGGCTTTCAAACA